TAAAATATGCAATAGAAAAGGAAGTGCTTCAAAAATATGTTATAAGAATATATATATATATATATATATATATATATTGTTACATAGATCCTAATTAACACAGACAAAAATTGTAGGGATTTTAAGGGGCAACACTGTTGTAGAGGTTTTTTGAGGCAAAGCCTCCAAAAAGAATTGTTTTTAGACTTTGTATAGCTTAGATGATTTTATAACGAATCAAAAATCGTGTCTTTTTTTCTTTGATCCTTTTTTTTGTAACTTCTCTCTATATTTTTCTCACTTCATTAGAAGGTTCAATTCTCAAATATATATTAAAAATAATTCTAATTGTGACCGTGCCAAAATGCTCAATTGTACCATTTAATTGTATTTTATTTTAGACATTTCAAATTATTTAGACTACCTAGTCTAATCTAAAAAGATAAATTCAGACTTTTAAAATTAAACTAAGATTCTTAATAATGTATATAGTTACTCAAGGTAAAGATACTATGTTTGCAACCTAACTTTATTAGGATAAATTTATTATTGATTGTTATTTTTTTATTTTTACAGAAATAATCAAAAATATTTAATCATAATATAAATACTTCTTATTTTAAATTAATTAAATTAATATTTAATTTTATATCTATTTAAAATAAAATATATTAACTATTTTATTATTTATTTTTTATATTTCTGATTTTAATCCTTTAAATGAAATATGTATGTGAATGTGAATTAATCTGTAATAATTTCATAATAATTATATTTAAAAAATTTCAATTCATATAGGATAATATTTTTTGAAAATTGATAAAAAAAAATTATGAATTATTAAAATATCAATTTACACCCCTTTGTTTATTTACACCACTATAAATTTTAGTTAATAAATGTCATAAAAGATATTTTAAAAAAATCGGAATTTTTATTCAATGACTTTATATCATTTATTTTACATAAAATAAAATACTAAATCTAATAATAAATAAGATAAATTATAGAAATTAAAAAATATTAACTATTTATTACAATTAGAATAATATGAAAAACATAAATAAATATAAAATCATTTAAGTAGTATTTTAGATATAAAAATTACAATTATTATTTAAATTTATTAATGAAAATTATTAATTGTGATCACATTATTATTAAAATAGCATTTTTTGATGTTATTAAAATATTTTAAATTTATTAATGAAAATTATGCTATTTTAATAATAATTAATAAATTTAAACTTCAAATTTAATAACTAATTTTTATATAATATAAAGATAGTAGATGATTTTGTTTTTTATTAAAATTTAAAATAATTTAATTCATATATATTATTCTTTTAAAAAATAAAATATAAGAATTTGAAGTTAAATCATTATACCTTTTGAGATATTTTTTTATAAAAAAAATATAAAGATTTTTTATGTTTAGATAAAAAAATAAACTACATTTAATAAATTTGTTAAAATTTAACAAATTAAAATAACAACTTAATTTTTATTTTATTTTAAAAAATCTTAGTATATATTATAATTCGAATTTTATTTAACAAAAAATATTTATACAATATTATCATTATTATTATTATTATTATTATTATTATTATTATTATTATTATTATCATCATTATTATTAAAATAGCATAATTTTTATTATTCAATCGCATCAAAAAATAATTATTAATGAAGATATATTATAATAATTCATCTTTTATAAAATACTGTGTTGTAACACAATTATATGGTGAAAGTTAAAAATATGGATTTTATTATAAAAGAACCTAATTGAAAGATATGGTAACAAAACATGGATAAAAGATAAGAAGGGAGTAAAAAAATTAATATTAATATTACTTTTTATTAAAAAAAAGGCTTCTACTTACTTTGTATACCATAAACAAGGTAAAATGAATAAATTAAAGAATAAATAATGTGAGGATCTTTAGGAGGGAATTAAGAATAATTTTTAGTAGAAATTACCTTTAGAAACCAAGAATTGATGCTTAGAGAGGACTAGTTGTGAATCAAGATTAATATTAGACCTCAAAGCACAAAATCAAGCACCTAAGGTGAGTATGGATTCTTCGGTTGATCAAAGAGTAAGGTTTGAGAGCAAACTTTAGGAAGGTTGTCTTAGCATTAGTTTCAAGTAATTTAAATGCATATTGAATTTTTGAGAGCTTTTCAAAGTAAAAGATGTATTTAGAGCTTTTGGATATTAAAAAATAAAAAACGGCTTATACATTTAAGAAATTTGTGGATATATTTGTAAATTTATTAGTGATTTTTTTGGATTTATCATTGTCCTTATTTTAATTATATTTTGTAATTTTGAAGTCAATCAAATGGTTAGATTGAAAGATATGAAAGTTCTATTGAATTAGGATCTTGGATATATAAATTTTAGGATTAGTGAAATAAATTGTAATTATCAAAAATCTGCTAGTTTGATTGAATCAAAAATTTGTGAGAGTATTTTGGGCTTATATATCTAAAATTGTGCCAATTTAGAGAGCAGTTAAATAGTTCAACAAGGAGTAATTTTTGCATGAAGTTCAACATTCAGATTGTAGAATGAGACTAGCCAATACCTAAGCATTATTTGATATGTTTGATCTTCTTCAAATAGTTTTTACTTATTTTCAACTAAATAGTTAAGAAGTTACAAATTTTGAATTAAAATCTACAGTTAGTTTATTAGTTATTAAAATTTCAATGTGCTAGTGAGTTGTTGAAGGATTTGTTTAGGATTTAAGGTTTGATTAGAGTTTTATTAGGATTAATTTAGGATTTAGGATGATATTGGGATTTTTTTAGGATTTATTAAGGATTTCATTAGGATTTGTTTAAAATTATATTAGGAATTGATTTGGATTTATTTAGGATTTATGTTTTTATTATTTCTTTAGGATTTTTGTAAAGTTTTTTATGATTCTTTTAGAAATTCTTCAAGATTATTTATGTTTTTTTTATAATTTCTTTATAATTTCTTTGAATTTTAAGTAAGGTTTCATTAGGATTGTTAAGCTTTAATTGAGATTTATTTAGGATTCTATTAAAATTGTTAGGATCTTGTTGTTGCAATTCCCAATTTATCTTTCACAACTAAAGATCTAATAAATTCTCAAGCAAGATTTTATATAATACAACAACAAAATATTCTATTTTAATAAATATATACTTAGTTCATGTTCAATTTTTAATACATAGATGTAATGTAACATGCCTAATTAGAAACAAACACTCTTTATTTATTTGATTTTTGTAGGCAAGATATATTATAAGAAATCTAAATTAATAAATCCTTATTTTTCAATTTTAAATTTTAAAATATAAATATTTAATAATTTAAGAAATTATTTATTAATTTTAGGTAAATTTATTAAGTATTTAATTTAAAATTCTAAACTATAGAATAAAATTTTGTTAAGAAGGTATTTTACTTATTAAATTTAGAATATAATAAATAATATATGTACTAAGAACATTAATAAAGATCTCAATAATATCTTCTGGTTAAAAATTATAAATTTAGTACATTAATGAACTTAATTGTTATCTATTGTTTTACCTATTTATTTAGGTATGGTATTTTTTTATTAATATAATATTAGTTATATGCAAATACTTGGCTGTTGAAAAACATTATAAAAAAAATTCAATAAGACATAGTTATAAATTAATTATTAATAAAATTCGATTGATTAGAATCAAGGAACTTGATCTATTTTCAAACACCAATAATTTTTTAATAATTCTAGTACTTATTTCTAGTATTATTTGAAGTTGCTAAATTTTATAAGTTTGAAGTCTTAAAATAAATATTCTAAGCCTTATAAGGTTTAGTATATTCTATCTTATATTACCATCTTCTTTTGGAATTACAAATTTTTTATGAAACTTTTAAAAGACATTTTTGTATTTAAATAAAATGCATGACATATATATATATATATATATATATATATATATAAAGTGAGATACTTTGTTTTTTCAGTTATGCATTATGACTTTCAGTTTCAGAATCAATTTCAAATATATCACCAATGAAGATTATATTTTTGCAATGGTGTTGAATGATTTTTAAAATCCATATACTTATGGGGCAAAAGAGTTTTAAAATCACATAATGTTTTTATGAAATCAGAAAATAGAAAAGAACAACAAAAAATTTTGAGCAAAAAATAATTTGGTAATAGTTGTTCAGATTAAGTTTCAAATATAATTACTTAGTACTATTATTTAATATCAATCTGAAATCCGCACCTAATTTTCTCTTATATGAAAAATAAGCCAAGATCTTAAAAATACCTTCCATGATTTTTAAGTTCCAAAAATATTCAAATACCACATGGTATTTTTTTTAACCTTATTATAAACAAGAATTATGAAGTTTTATACTTCACTTCTATATTTTATTAGATTAAGCTAGCATTGGCAACTTGAAATGCCTATTATGTACAAAGTGTCTATACAATTTATTTATTTATTTGTATTGTAGAGATATAGTTCAACAAGATTTTAGGGCTTGGGGCTCACATGGTGGGATGTCCAGAGAGGAACCTGCGGTGAAGCGCTTGGAATGACGCGCTAATTCTCGACGCGCGGGGCATTCAATACCTCACGCGTGTGAGCTTTAGATTGAAGCAACACGCTTCCAAATCCTCTGCAGGCGGCATTAATTGGAACTCTGTGATCTAGTTGTCTGAATAGCCTCGGACCCTCTGCGAAAACTCATGAGTCAGTCGCCATTATGAATCATAAATGTAGTCCCTCAACGTTAAGTTGGAAAGATTGAAATTACTCCCATGAGAAGAGATAATTTGCAACTCGTACACGCGTCTTCGACCCCTTCAGTGTTACAAGGAAAGACGCACCGGAAAATGTTGTGTTGAGAAACAAGAGACGGAAAATTCAGAGCAATGGTGGAATCAACCGCAGTAGCAGAGTTTCAACTGCATTGTGCAGCGTTTCTTGACCTATAATGCATGTTGTCCGCGTAATACAAACCAATGTGTAATCTGGGAGTAATTGATGGAAAAATTTGGTTTATGAATTAAAACAGTTCTTGAGCTAAAGTCTAAATTCAATCAGGGTGAACTGGTGACCGTTTCGTGTTGCTCTAGAATTCATCTACTCTTTCAAGTAAACTAAAGCTCAAGCTCCATGATTATGCGCGGATCTTGACATGTTGGCCGTGGCCGCAAACCTAGCGTTTGTTAACCGGCAATTTTGACGAATTTCGCCCTCTTCATCCGGCCTTCCGAACTTGATCTTGTTGGACGCCATGTGTATTAACGCATTCGAAAACTTGATCTGCCACAGTTCCGCATTCTCAGAGTTCAAGTTGGACGCAAACTCCGTCTGGTGGTCAGCGAAGAGAGCAATATCAGAAGCGAACAGCACTCGCCCGGTGACGCCATTGGTGTAGTACATGTTGTCGAAGGTGTTTGGAGACACGGGGTCGAGCTGAACAACAGAATTGGGGTTGCCACCCTGTGGACAGACCTGTTTCAAATGGAGGGCGTAATCGAAGTCCAGCGTCGGGTCAACACCGTTAGGAGAGCCAGGAAAGTTGTAGAGACGAGGAGTAACTTGCGCACACGTTGTTCTGCCAATTGTGTGTGCACCTAAATCCACAATCACGTATGAATGAATTAGACTTCAACTACCATCATCGTGTGTTTTTGAGTCACTCCGAAATCAAAACTAAACGGAATAACTTTAGATCACCGTATTGATACCTGAGAGCGTTATCATCTCGTCCTGGCCGAGACCCTGTGCCAGAAACTTCTGTGTAAGCTCTCTGGCAGACGACTCCGTAGACACAAGATTCGCGTCAGCGCTTGCAGTGCTCGAGACCATACCATCTAGACGTCCAGTCGGCATTTCAAAATGACGTCCGCCAGTCTGCCAAATTTCGCAATATCAATCACTATTGTGGACCAGAACACAAATCTTCGAACACAAGGGTGATAATTAATTGGTACGGTTTCACTTACCAACACGATGGCGTCGCGGGCGGCAAGCGCCACAATATCGGCGCAAGACACTGTCAACGGGCACGTTTTTTCGAGCTGCGTCTTGGCCGCGTCTATCACCTCGTATCCCCGCACCGATAGGTTGGGACCTGAGCGCTTCTCCACGTTAGGGTTCTCGGGAGAAGGATCAAGGAGAATGGACGCGTCGCAACCTTCAACGAAACAGTCATGAAACAACAGCCGGATGAGAGCGGGGGCAACGCTGGGGTCCTGGTTGAACGCTTGCGTCACAGCTTGAGTGACAATTGCTTCTGCAATGCCGCAGTCCTTTGTGCGGTAATACCCAACGAACTGCGCACTCACCTCCACGCCACTGCCCGAAACCGCCCACACCGCAAACAGCAGCTGCCATATTCGGTAGCCCGCCATAGTAGACCAAGAAACCTATCTGAACACCAGCTCAACTTGAAAGAATCTCTCAGAAACACACAGATCCTTAAAAGGACCTCAGCTTCTCTCCAGCAACTGCGACGAATCCCACAAAGGCTAATGCTACCCGCAGTGATGCTTGCGACAGAGATCGTTGCTGCAGGTGAGCTGATTATCAGGTGGGGTGGGAAGCCAAGCGTTGAAGCTGGACTTCATGAGTGTGCAGCACTGGCGGAGGTTTGAAGGCTCCCATTCCCACCACCACTGGGTTGTTGTGGAGCTCATCAATGTGGTGGCCGCAGAACGTGAGGCACTGACGGCTAGTTTGATGTGGACAACTTGATGCGTGGGGGTGAGAAGCATGTTTTGACGCGGCATTGCGCAGCTGAATTTCGGGGACGAGGTGACGAGGGTGATGCCATCGCGCCGCAGCTCCTCTTCCTTCCGATGAAGAAAGGGCGTTGCTACTTCAACTCTTCCACGTCACCATATTGCTGAAGCTTGTCACCTACTCTACTGAACAGAAACCATTTTTTAACATCCCTAGTGTTTAGTTTATGTTTGCATTAATAATCATATATTCAGCTTGTTTATACACGTGCTAGATGAAATTTGTGCCATTGCTCAAACAGTGCTGTTAACAGTTAACAGTTGTTTGTGTGTTTGATATCGATGAATCGATTTCAGCAGTTGACTTGTTCAGTAGTTGTGTTCACCGACCCATCAAAAAAAAAAAAAAAAAAAAAAAAAAAACTTTTTCATTTTTGTTCGTACGTGTCTGTGTATTCTTTTCTAATTTGTCACTTCATTTGTCTCTTAGTAGTTTGTCTGTCATACAACAACTCATTTGTTTTTGTCTATCTGTATCTAAGCCTGTACAAGAATGTAAATCACCAAAATTATATACCTTTTTGAAAATCACCTTATGGTGTAATTTGTTGATGCTTTTTCCACAATGAGATGGCTTTCTATTTTTCACATTTGTAGTTCTGTTTTCATTGTAGTTGACATATTTATCCACATTAGTGTATAATCTTGTAGTCTTCTATTCATTTTCTTCTTTAATATGTACCAAATTTGAATCTTCTTGTAGACTCATCTTAATATAGATCTTAATTTTTCTAAATTGATCAAAGAGCCTTAATATAAAAGATACATAATAAAAATTCTTGATGGACAATTGCATGAATCTATAATAATCTACATACATTTATTTATAAGGATTCATGTTTTTTTTTCTTTTTAAAGAAGATTCGTGTACCAATATAAGATTTTCAATATCAACTAAAATCTTTTAGAAGATTTTCATCAATATGTACTTCTAGAATAATATGTTCATTTTGTAGCAAGTTGTAAAATGGTTCAAATGGTGGTTGACATTCTTCTAAATAATAAAGTGAAAAATCATATGTTCAATGTTGTCGCAGTATATCAATAATTTTCTTCTCAAATAGTTTTATAGAAATAGATGTATCAAACTTTGCATTAGATATACTTTTATGATAGTTACATGCAAATGATAGACTTCATCCTATTGTCTTTTATTTTAAAAAATTCTCAATAATTAAGATTAATGATAAAATTCACAAGTACGAACTTCTTGCCATTATAGATTCATTCTAAGAATAATATCACTACTTTAAAGGTGCTTCTCATTTAATTACAACTTATACATATTACAAGAACCTTAAACATTTTATATCAATATGTAATTTTAATGGCCACCAAACTTGTTTGAATATATCTTTGTCACAATTTTATTTAATATTGTATATTATCTTAAAAAAAAAAAAATACTTATTAAATGCATTCTCTATATATTTTTATCTTGCACCAAAAAAAAATACTATATATGATCAAAAATAGATAATATTTTAAAAACCACAACAATTTTATTTTATAGCCATTACTTTAATAATTCTAATTGATACTCAATTATTTTTATAAAATTTATTAAAATATTTTCAATTTTTTATTTGTTATGTTAAAATAATCTTAAGAATATTTTTAAAAAATATTATAATAAATTTATTATATAAATTTATAAGTATAAAATTTATTTTTAAATCTAAATTACAAATGGCCTCAATTAAGATTTGTTTGTGATTATTGATGTAAACTAAGAAAAGCAAAGAACAAGAACAAAAGAAGAGCAACACAAAACAAGTGAAATAAGTGTAATCAAGCAATTGCATACTACAAAATGAGTCACAATCTATTCATTAGACTTTCATCCATTAAAATATATATATACATATACACTTTTTTAGGTAGATAATTTTTTATCTTTTCAATGATATAAAAAACTTATAAATTTAAGTTATTATGAATAAGTCAAGATAGTTTGAAAATAAAATTTAAAAAATTAAAAAATTAAGTGAATAATTTTTATCTTAAAGATGACTTGTTTAAGAGATTAAGAATTTGAGCCTCACTAAGGCTCATAAGTAATATATAAAAGTGTCATAAAGAGGCCACAAGGCCTTAGTCTTATCTTCCTACTTACATCCAAGGTGCTACAACCTATATAAGACTTATGCACCTCTCTTCCTACAAGAATTATATAAGATGCTGGTCCTCATATCATTTTACTAATAAAAATAATATTTTTATATTTTTGACTTTATCATGGTATTTTAAAATATCCAAGTAGCCTAAGAAACATTATAGGGCCTTTAAATCTTCTTTCATTTTTTCATGATGACCTCCAAAAGTGGTAAAACTTATTTTTATCAAAGTCTTAAAGATAGCTCTAGAGGATTTCAAAAAAATCTAAATAAATTCTAATTTTTTTAAAAAAATATCTGTAATATTTTTATAACTATAATATAAATTCAAAACTACTTATTCTTAACTTAGTGATCTTTAAAGTAATAAAATAACTTTAAATCAGTTAAAAATTCTATTCTTATATAAATAATAAAAAAATATGAGATTCATTTTTATGCTTCTTTTAACTACTAACTAAAATTTATAGCTTTTAGATAAGTAATAATTATAGATAAAAGGCCAATATAGATATTAGTATCAAGATCTAAACATCAATACTTAATAATAATTAAATACCTAAGTATTTTTAATAATTAAAATTTAATAGTAGATAATTAGATATGGATAAAAAAAAATCATTCAGTAATAAAGATACAACCAAAAAAATCTCAAGAATGAAAAAAATAATTTATAGATATTTTTTATTTTATTTTATTTTTAAAAAGTTACTTCTATTCAAAGTAAGTAAAAAAATATGATTATTTTATTCTAATATCTAAATCAATTAATCTTATGACAAGTAAGATTATCAAAGATTTAGCTTTTTTTATCCAAAAAAAATCAATTTAATTGCATATTGATTAAAACTATTACAATAAATAAAGATTTATTATGTATTTATAATATCTATTTTTAAACTTCATACTACAATCAACATATTAGAAATTAATTAATTACTATCATCTTTTATTAAATATGAAATATATTATTTTAAAATAGTTATGAAGGCCTTAATAATGATCAAATAATAAGATGGTCTTCTTACCTTAATATGTAATATTATTAATGGTTAAAGGGGCATATCGACTACTTTTATGCAAAATATAGATTAAAATTTGTTATTAATTTCATTTGAAAAATCTTAAATTCTATGAAGTTTTGAAGTAATTTAATTTTGAAGTAATCTTAATAGGCATTTTGAAGTAATCTTAATAGACATAGTACTACTTAAAAAATATTTTGTCTTTATAATTAATCAAAATAAAACTTTCACATAAACAACAACAACAATAATAAGTATTATTCTTTACTTCATGAACCATTGGCCTTGGTGGTTATTTATAATGCTTTAATTAATAACAAATAGCCATTTTTTTGTTAGTAAGTTTTTATTTTCTTAACTTAAAGTTATTTAATTTAAAATTCAATACATCTTGATTCTATATAGATGAATTATCTCTAAATTAGCTTCTATAGATTAAAAACTATTGATTTAGTTCTTATGCGGATGAAGAATCTCCAAGCTATTTTCTACTATCAAAACCTTATTGGTTTAGTTTTCTTTGTTAGGTTGATTCTATCAAATTGTATTTAATAAAGTAAGGCAATTAATAATAATCATTTTTGAAAATAACCTTGTTTAATAATAAAATTATTTTTATGGTTATACATATAGATATAGTTTTATAGAAAAAGTAATAAAGCCTAATGTAATATAAAATTAAAATAACTAACAAGTTTTTTTAATTATATTTATTTTTTAATTAAATTTCATGAAATATAAATATTTTATTTTATTATTAGGAGACTTATAATGGAATATAAAGTATTATTTAAGTTTAAAGCTCTTCTAACCATTGTAAAGATATAATCTATAATAGACCTTGTTTTATTAAAGTTCTTAAAAAAATTAACATCAAAAAATCTTATAATATATTTATTATTTTTCATACTTTGCATCAAAAATTATGCAAATATTTAAAGTATCTTATAGTTTATAAAAATATTGTTATATATAATACATCAAATGCTACAAATCAATTATGATGCATAGAATCTAAATCAAATATAAATGAATAACTAATACATTCTTAAGAAAAAGATGATGAAACTACATACAATTAAGTCAAGTTATCTCTCACATTATAAAAGAAGAATCTAAAAGTATAATTATATATAGAAAAAATCCTAAAACTTTACTAAATGGCTAAATTATCATAGCCAAGTAAACCTTTATAATACAAGTTTTTTTTTTTTTTTTTTTTTTTTTTTTTTTTTTTTTTTCTTTAATTCACTCACAAGATTTGATTTAACATGAATGTTAAGTCAAAAAAAAATTCCATCTAAATCTTTAAATATTAATTGACATTAACAAAGTCAACTAATAAAAAAAGCTAAATAGATGAAAATCACTAAATCAAATCAAATTATATATGTTTGACAAGATTTGGCATTTGATGCTACATTGCATGATAGCTATTGTGTAAACTAAGATTATTACATACAACACATTGAGTACTATAAACCAATTATAATATATGTATTAACCTTAGAAATTATAATTAATAAAATAAAAATATTATTTTACTAAAAAGATATATGAATAAGAATAAAATTGATATAAAAAAATAACTTATAGAAATAAGTATAAATAAGATTAGAAAAAATAAGAAGGTATAAAAAGAAAAGTACTTAGTTTTCCATGTGTAGGAAAGATAAGATGGTTAAAACCACTTTAAAAAGTTAAAACCATCTTAGATAGTTATGGTAGTTAAAAACAAATTAATTTTATTATGTTTTAAATAATATTGATAGGAATTCATTATAAAAAAGCTATAAATAGATTCAAAATTATATTA